TATCACGATTAACCACAGCTTCCCTTAAAAATAAAAAATGTCATAGCAATTTCTTTTAGCCAAGAGATAAACAACATAGATACACAACTAAAATCAAAGAAGGGGAACAAAGGTGACATTTGCTACATTACATTTTAAGACAAGCCTTGTCTTTAAGAAGCAAATGTTTGTTCTATATCATCCAAGGATATAAAGAAATGTTTGGAGAAGAAACCTGCATAAATATCAGCTAAAATGACTTGTCGCCATAGCTACCGCCTACTAATCCCTGCTGAAAGAACAGAGAGGGTCGGCAGTGCATGGACTTGTCCTCTGAGTGACAGAACACATGTGAATCTGTACCACACTAACAATGTGTTTCACATGTGCAGGTCTGTGTAGAGGTGGAGGAGCGCTCTCTGTGCTGCTCACTGATCCCCAGAGGAGTTCTTGTTGTTTTCTTCAAGGACAATAGCAAAGATATTTACAATGTGTGGGAGGAAAGTGTGGCTTTTTGTTGCTCGGCATCGTTCGATTGCAATAATTAGAGGTTGCCAGGGCCACAAAGGAATGATGGAAAAAAGATGAATGGAGAATGCAAAGTTTGGTCAAGAAACAGAAAAAAGGAACATCAGTCCAGCTATTCAGCGTCCTGCAATAACTGTCGCCTTGAAGAAAAATCTAACTTTCAACAACAGGACCTGAATTGTGTTTAGCATGACATAGAATAGTTTTTTGCAATCGATGCGTAGCAGGTTTTAAGTGAAAGTTTGGATTTTTTTAAGCAAGGTTATATGAGTTCATTTTATTTAGTCCGTATATTGCTTACATGCGAGGGCAGTCACCATTTAACTAGCTATTTTGGACTGAAACGCTGCCTTTGCTTATTATTCACTGACAATCCATGTGTGATCCATTAGCTAAACATGCTTTATTCTTTGCAGGGCTGACGGATGGGCTACGTCGTGTTTAGCAGCACTTTCCTTCTGACAAATATAACTGTACTATAAGCATTTAATCAAAAAGTGAAATGCTTTGACACAAGTATGCCTGACTGAATTGAGACAATGTGTAAATCAGTCACTGGCTGTTGGAGCAGAGTTAAGTAGAGAAGGAGCTGCCTTGATTAACATGCAGGTGTGCTGATTGCTGATTATAGCCAGGTGAGTAGTGAGAAGGAGGGAGGACAGAAGGGGGAGGGGAAAACCATCAAACAGATCAATCCAAAACACGTCACTCAAACTAAAAAGTAGAAAACATAATATTATTAAAGGTCCCCTATTATACTGTTTTCATCAATATATTACAGGTCTCAGATATATACAAAACATGTCTCTGAAGTGTTTGGCTCCAAACACCAAACAGATCATTGCAGCATCCCATAATCCCCTCTGTTTCAGCCCTGTTTCAAAAGTGCTGATTCTCTGTCTGTTACTTCAGATGAAAATAAGGAGCCACTCCCCACGCCCCTCTGAGAGATATTTGGTTAAAAAGAACACAATGGTGCTCTAGGAGGAGATTCAGGTGATAAGGTGGTGGTGGGGGGGGGGGGTTACCTTGGTTGCTGATTGGCTAATGGTTACACAAGCCAAACAATCGTTATGACATCATAAAGTGGCCAAAATCTGATCAGCTCATTTTCAGACAGGTTTTTATAGAAATGGATCAGGACAAAAAGAGAGAGAATCTTTTTTCCTGAAACTTTCAGAATCTCTTTACACAGAGGGGACACATGTTTATGTAGAGAAGACATGAAGAAGTGGGTTTTGCATAATAGGTGACCTTCAAAAACACTCTGGGATTTACCATGTTGTTGCATCTTGTAAAATGAGCCATATAGAGTTACTTGTGAAATGTTCTGTCATAGTACTTAATGGAGTCTGCGTTTTTTTTATCAAAAAAGCTGTCTATTCTGTGCACCTGTTCACTGAGACATTAACAGAGATAAGATAATTAAAAGATGAGCCAACCTGTTGCTGGAGTTAAAAAATAAAATGCGGCAGAAGTATGTACATGTACGTAATGTTTAAATTAGTACTATATTTATTCAACACTCAATGTGAGGTGTGAACATTTTGCATTTAAATACACACAACCAGAAAGGAAGAAAGAAAAAGAAAGCACCATGTAGGTCTATCATATAGCCTACCTCAGATTTACTACATGACTGATATAGGTTGCTGCACTAAAAAAAAAAGAAATGTGATGCAACTCATACAGGGAACGTCACGTGATGCAGACCAGGTTTTTTCTGCAGTATAAGTTGCCATGGCAATCTAGCCAGGTGAAAAGAGAGCCACCTTCGTTATATAGAAAGACTCTTTAGGTCAAACATACTTTGCTAACCCTCTGATCTGGCTTTGTGTGTGTGTGTGTGTGTGTGTGTGTGTGTGTGTGTGTGTGTGTGTGTGTGTGTGTGTGTGTGTGTGTGTGTGTGTGTGTGTGTGTGTGTGTGTGTGTGTGTGTGTGTGTGTGTGTGTGTGTGTGTGTGTGTGTGTGTGTGTGTGTGTGAGAGAGATAGTGAATGTGAGTGACAGAGAGAAGGTGGAAGCTGGAGCATTGTACTCAATTCTTCTGTAAGTTATTTATAATATGAACTTGAATGTTGATAAGCTTCAAACTATTGGATACAGCGGTATGAGCCACACAGCAATACATCAGCGGGGGAAAGGCCGCGTGGAGGTTTATAAAGAAAGGCTTTGGGCGTGAGGAGCTCTGACAGGAGGTGGGAATCTGTTAGGGCGTTTATTTTAAATATCAACATTTAGTTTTTTTATAATTGCAGACTCAAACTTTTAGAGAATTCACTTAATGTGAACCTTTCAAGTTCGGTGATATTGTTAATGTGAAATCATCATAATTGGTTCACTGCAACTCCAATATACACCAATAATCAAACAGCATTACCAACTCTTTGCTTTACTCCATATCATATCAAGTGTTTTTGTATCAAGATAGTGTTTACTGCGTAAGAAGCAGTGTGTGTGATGAAACTCTTGTAATTCTTGCACGCACTTCTAAATCTGTTATTAGCCGCTGAGGTTGATGCTCTATTGGTGACAGGTCTTACGTTCTTACATTTTATAATTATGCTCAGCAACATTCCATGTAAATGAAACCCACTTTAATCGACTAATCCAATCTGTTTCCACTTCATGACAGCATTTACGTGTGTGGTTATAATGTTGACACATACATGTAATGATGTGGTACATCAATATTTCCAGAAGTGACAGCAGCAAACTTTAACAACATGAAATGCAGAGAGGAAAAAAAGACATGATATATCAGAGGATGGCCAAAAGTAGAGCAGCAGTAAATGAAACATCAGGATTATCTGGTCCAGAAAGGGGAATTAGGAGTGATGAGGCTGCTCTGTTCATCTTTCTAGTTGTTGTTGATTGGCTGCAGTCTGCACTGTGTCACTGTTAATGCTTTGGGTCAGTGCTGACAGATTCAGTAAATAATTATTTTTAGGAAGCCAACACGCAGGCAAATGTTTCTCAGCAAAGAAAACTGTTATATGATTTAGTTCAGAGATAGACAGATGTTTAGCAGGTTTAAAGGGAAGTTCAGATTTTTTGAAGTAGGGTTGTATGAGGCACTTATCCATAGTGTAAAGCAGGGCTATTCAATTGGCGGCCCGAGGGCCAAATCCGGCCCCGGGGTGATATTTACTGGCCCTTTGAGTATAATGTTAAAAAGTGAAAAAAATTATTTAAGATATATATTTATTTTTTATTTTTGAGTGCCTTTATTCCAGAGAGGGTGTTACATTGAGAGATAGAGGGGAAGACATTGCCTGAAAACTTTGGCGGGCTCGGGTTTCGAACCCACCTACTAGCTACTGTAGTGACAACTCCTGTCATTTATTGCATCTCTGCGTGAATGATTAGATCATTTCACCTAAATTAAATTAAATCAAATGATGTTGATGGTTAAATTAGCTTCACATGTAGGCCTACTGAGTTCCATTTAGATATATAAAGGCCTTGGGGCTATGTTGTTTGATTTAATGAAACAGAATATATGCACTCCACTATGCTGTTGTAGTGTTAACTGTATCTGAAGCTCTTAATATGATTGCTCATATTTCAAGCCATCCTTTTCCCGGCCCCTTGCTTTGGATCATTTTCATCAACCGGACCCCATTCCAAACTAATTGAATAGCCCTGGTGTAAAGGAACAGTATTTTAGCCAGCTAAAATATGGCAAATCTAGAAATCAATGTTGAAATGTATGGTATTAGTGACTTATTAAACAACAAAGTCACACAGAAAAACTAATGAACTGATTGAAGCAGCGTGTCTCTTGTTCTGCGAGGTTGAAATACCGCTTCTGTCAATGAAGATGTAAACACTTAAACTGACATTGATTTTTCTTAGATGGTCCTAAAATACGTTTACCTGCTGCCTACTTCTCCAAACTAGTTGCGTGCTGAACGTCATCTACTGTAGGTGTACACTGACTATGATCAAGCACCTCACTCAACCCTCAAAAACCCAAACTATCCCTCTTAAATCCAAATCTCAGCATACGGATCTGTCTACTCAGATGAGCGTCTGCTATGCATTGATGTCGTTTTTCTGAAACCATATAGAAATTCCTGTTTAATAACAATCAGTACATGATATGGAGAGCAGATATTTAAGGATGCACTCATGTAAAGAAGAATTGTAATGTTGTAGTCGGAGCTCAGTATGTACTATAAACTAATGATTGTTTTCATTATTGATGATTCTAATGATTATTTTCTCCATTGATTGATCGTTTTGTTTGGTTTGTGAAATGTACTGTTTGTTTGTGTGAATTAACCCAGAGCCCAGAGTGACACCTATATGAATCAACTGTAGTTACAATACATTGCAGGTCTCCCTTGAAAAAGAGATCTATGATCTCAAGGGACAATCTGGTTAAATAAAGGTTTGAAATGAAATGAAATGAACAATGACCTGAACAGAAAACAGCCAGAGGGCAAGTGAGGGACTTGATATTTTGTAATACATTTATTTAAACTGTACTATTAACTATAAGGTAGTTCATGGTTTGTGTTAAGCTAACATAAGCACTCATTTGGTAGACAAACAGAAAAAACAGGCAGCAAACCCCATATGATGTTTAACAAAACGCTTAGCTAAGCTTAGATACATTCCACCTATGGTTGTGTTCTTATAATGTTAAGGATTTTAGTGAATGGCTCAATGATGAGACAGTCTGCTTTCTCCACGTTGTATTCTTTATGAGCTGTTTGCCTGGGTTGGACGGCAATAAGCTTATCTGTTGGGATCGACGCACTGAAACTAAATACAAATCCTTTTTTAATAACCGTCTTTATGTAGAGCAGATATTCAGGGCTGAAATGCTGAATTCTCCGCCTCCGGTACTATAAATCCTGCGCCTGATTTCAGATTGAGCATGACATCTAATAACAAGAGATGTCCCCGCTGTTAAGCATAACAACAACCTTTACAGTGGGTAATGATTTAATATAAAGTGGTAATGAAGTGATGTAGTGTGTGATACTCTGACATACGGTCTCAGTTATCAGACGGGAGCTCCATTTCATCCAGTCGCTGGCTGATGGGGGTGCTGAACAGGGCCGACTTCCTGAAAGGTGCTTTCACGGACGGTACGGCAGTGGCACCCTGGGACACAAACGAAAGAAACACGAAAAATGTCAATGCCATAATCCATCATTTACTGAATGCTTCTGTACTCGCTGTCTGACAGAAGAAACCGACAAAAACATCACAAAGGAGGACACTTCACAGAGGGAACAATGGGAGCTTTGAATGCAGAGTGTATAATCATCCTCCTCTCAACATTGGTGGATGTGTGCGGGTCTTCTGAGAACAGCTGTTGTTGCAATCCCTGCCCACATTAGGTGGGAGGTTATTTAAAAAAATAAGGGAAAAAACAGAAAACATGATCAGACATTAAAGGTGTGGTAGGTCATTCACTTCAGAAACACTTTTTGTTATATTCCATGGAATGCTCTGAACATCCCGATAGCAATGAATATATTAAATGCTTTGACAATAAATACATACAAAAATGTCATCTGTGGAAGCCGTGGCGCTGTAAAAAGCACGACCAATTATCTGCCGGTTGTGTACTTTCAAATTCTAGCGCACTCGAGCTGGTTTCTCTATTCTTACCTATACCTTTAAGCACAGTGGTCAGCATCAGGGAGAACAAATACTTTGAGATAATCTATTACTTTTGGCCCATAATACATGAATGTAATGTATTTAATATACAGGGGGGGTGGAGTCTCCCAAAGGCTGGGATTTAGGAAGCATTCGGCTGTCAGTTGTCTGTCAGCTAGCCCTTAACGTGGAGGGGCAAACCTAGGTGGCTCCATCGGTCACAGCAAACAAACAGTTGGAATAATATCACACACCTGTATCCGCTGGCAGTTTTCACTCCAAAATGTGATGGCCTGGTCAGATTTGTAATCATGAACCTGGAAAAAGGCAACAAAGTAGTGTTTTAATCACAAGCAAATGCACTGCACCACAGAAAATGTTGTTCATGTTTTACGTCTGCAATAACAGCCGTCTTAAAGTAACCCCCTCAATCCTTTACAGGTGAGGCATAACTTCTTTAAGGACATCATGTGGTTTATATCTGTGAAGAACTGAAAAGCAGAGACGGCTGTCGAGGAAAATAATGTACAATAATGTACTTGTGATCTGCACCATTTTATATTTATTTGTTGTTCTCTTCCCAGACGTCTCCTGCTTTGAATAGCCTCTTTATGTTGCTGTGTTGATATTCTGTTGTTTTTGCTATCAGTTTCCCTTTTGTAATAAATCATTTTGATAACAAAATGGTGGGAAATAACTGAATAAATTGGTACGTTTTCAGAACAGTCAGAGAATGACACAAATAAAACAACACTTGGGTCGTAGTATGTGGAACAAAGTAATGATGATTATAGTTAGGCATACGTACAATCTAACCAGTGCAGATAGCAGTGTATTAGGAGAGGGGAGGAGGGTTATCTTGCGGGCAAACGCACAACAAAACAACTTGTGTGTTTAGGACCAACATCACTTCACTATGGAGTGTTTCTTCTTGCGGGTGATTCCATGTGTTCTGCTAGATTATCATGGGGTATTTATTACCCCACACTCCCGGCATTATAGTCATTAGTAACACATGTGCTTTTCCTGCAAGTCAAAATGTCTGCCATTAAAGATCTTTGGATTAATCAACTAATCATTTCAAAACCTTTACACGGTCAGCGGCCTGTTTCCGCCCCAAATTATCATACTACTGAATCTGGAATCTTATGGCATCGTTATAATAATACGTCATTCATTAATCATAATCAAGCATCCTCTTAATTCGATTGGCTGGTAAAATAAATAATGCTGATGCAAATCTACCAAACAAATATAAAATTGGGGAAACATACTGGGCTGTTCTTTTAACAACAGTCCTAACATTAAAGTTAGGGTTAAGCACTAAATACAACATATTGTTTATGATAGTACATGATACTTGATCTCATCACTGCAGTGAACCTGCAAAACCCACAGAGTATATATACACACTTACTTGTGTTGTTTCAGGGGTAAGAGGCACAAATCCCTGTACACAGAAATCCCTCTGAGTTGTGGAGCAGAAGTCAGTTTTGGGACATGGTTTGTTCCTTTCAGCATTAATCTTCTCTCTGTAAAAATACGATGATATCAGCCTCAGTTTTATGCATTGTTAGAAGGAGCACTGTGATACTCAAACTGCCAAAAACTAAATGTATGAGTATAGAGGAGTTGTGTGGTTGTGGTCTTATAATGTTTAAAGTGAAAGGCTTAAGACTCAATGATGAGACACTGTCTGCTTTTCGACATGATGCTTTGTAGTCTTTACAAGCTGTTAACTCGTGCGGGACGGTTATAAACTCATCTGTGGGGATCAACGCAATGAACACCATAAGGATGACTGACCTTCATGTAAAATAACATCATAAATCTGATTTAAAAGGTATTACAGCTGTGATTGAACAGTGAAAAAAGGCCAGACGTGTAAATATGACATCACTTTCTCCTGCGTGTTGCCCTCAGGACATGGTCAGGCAGTGTTCTCCGTTCCCATAAACAAACCACTTCCAGTAAGACTTTCTTTAAGATCAAGACTTGCTTCATACTTGACTTACCTTATCCTCTGGGCGTTATGTTTTTCCAAAAGCTCGCCTCTGATGCCTAGACCATGGAAATATAAAAAAGAAAGATTAATGGGCAAATCATCTGAAAAAGATTTACTGAACAGAGAAAAAAAAATCTAAAACTAGAGGAAAGGGGGGGAAAGAAAAACAGGCAAAGGATACATAATTATGTATAATTCTGATACTGCATGTATGTTAATGTATACAAATGTGCATATTACACCATGCCGTTAATAACATAGAGGGCAACCTTCAGTGGCATGTATAAAAATACAGTTTTATGGTAAACAATACTTAGCTATTGAAATACAATACGAAACAATGTAGCTGTAGCCAACTATAAAGCAGTTGTGTTTATAATATGTCGCACAGTGATTAAGCATAGGTAACCTAGCTCATGTGATTGTGCAAAAATTCATGGGTAAAGTAACACTATACTGTACTATATATCTTTTCAGACATGTTTATTCAAAAGAGAATTCAAAACATTATCCAACAATATTTGGCTGCTCCCCTGCAGTCACTCTGAGAAAGCCCTTTTGTTCACAGACCCATTTTCGATAAGACGTACATCAAATCTTTTCAACTCTTCTGAAAACACATGCCTAGCCTATTCATGAGTTATAATGGTATTTTGGTACTGTTAGTGAAAGACACGTACCCCGCAGCCTCACCCCAGGACCTTTGGGAGGAATGAAATTCGCTCTCAGCGTGGTGACACTCTCCATTTGAGACTCCTGGTCCATTGTGATGATCCCTTTGTGTCCATGTTTTTGGATTTGTATCCTCGTTTCCTGAGTGTCAACATCCTCCATGGCCCTCTGTATAAATGGACACAGGGAGGGTTTAGATGAAAAAAAAGCAACATTTATTTACCTTTTATAAGCATGTGTCAGCTTAGAAAGTAATTCTTTCTTTTAGGTTTTCAAGGTAAGGCAGCTGGCAGAAAAGTCTTAAAGCCATTATGACAAAGACACACAACAAGGAACAGTGATGGAAAAAGTACTCAGGTCTTTTACTTAAGTAAAAGTACCTATACCATATTTTCAAGTAAATGTATTGCTTAAAAGTAGAAAGGTATAAGCATCAAAATATATTTAAAGTACAAAAAGTAAAAGTACTTGTTATGGAAATCATATATCATATATATTAAATTACTGCAATGTGTTCATTACCATAAGGACATTATCATGACTGACTTGCATGCTGGCTAACTGAAATAGCTCAATGGAACTCATAACGTAAGGAAACGTGGGTTTTTCGTGCTAAAACAAGGCTACTCTACCATAACAATTGTCTAACGTTATGAAATCTCATAACGTGGCATACCAGTAATATGACATATTTTATATGACGTATTAAACGTAACTATACAGTGAGGTTTGTTTAAACACGGTTAGCTTACACTTTAACAAGCACTCTTGGGTGACGTTTGGCGGCTAACTAACATTAGCCAGGCTAGCTTCTCAGTTACTAAAGTTAAGGTTAAAAGTAAACTCACCTCTTCCACCCAGTTGTGCAGCATACATTTACCAACTTTATTTCCCACCGCGGCGGGCTTCTCTGCCATTGTGCCACCAATATAACTACTAAGCTTGACTAAAATGGACCACGTCGTGCATGAACAACACACTGAAACCTGTACCTCTATACTAGCACGTCCTTTGAAAGAGGTGACAACGAACCCCCTTAGCAACAGGATTCTGTTGACGGAAGTGTCGCCATGACAACGGTATTCATTTTTCGTTGAGATAAAAAAAAGCTGGAGAAAGCTCAATTAATACTTAACAGTGTAAACTATGATAGAAGGTATACAAGAAAAGAGAAATACATAAATAAAGAATGTGTATCCTGTCATATGTCTTTGAAAAACGTCTGTTGTCTGCCTTATTTACTATTATGTTTCACCTTTAGGATGGATTGGCAGTTAAATGATTCCAACTTGTGAAAACATAAATACTGTTATATTTGTTCCCCTCCTTTTGCTTCTTTTAAACGTTCTTGTTTTGAGTGGTTTGTTGTTTTGCTGTGCATGTTTGTTGTTGCTTGATGCATTTTTAATGAGACAAAAAAAAAAGTGTTAGGGTTTTACAGCATTCTTTGACATGTTTGTATATAACTGCATTGGTTTGTTTCCTGTTTCCCCTTCACCTACAATCTGCTATATCTGTCTAAAGCGGCACATTTTGTTTACAGAGTGTGTGCAGCAGCGCTTGTTACACCCAGAAGGTGAACGACATTTACTGCCAAAACAAGAAACAGCATCTTTGTTTGAGGGAGAACAAAAATCTATTTAAGAATGTATTCATTAAAGTAACCTTTTTGAATCAATTGTACATTTCAAATCACATACCATTTATCCATTTTGATGCCAACTCTGCTGAATCTAACACTCGTTGTTTGTTTCTGTGGATATGAGACGCAGAAACAAACCACAGAGGCTGTTGCTGAGAAACAGCAGAGGAGTTTTCACTGTCAGACTGCCAGATAGTCTGGAACAGTCTACAGCCTCAGCATGAGGCACAGTAAGGAATCTAATCAATGTTTAATGGATGGGTAGACTGTCAACATGTGCTTTGTCCTTCCACACACATGTTCTTCATCCATTAATTTACAGTTATCTGTCACCTATAAATGCAATGACTAATTGCTGACATGTTGATATTTTGCATGGACGTCTATCATCTTAGTTAAGGGTAACAGTAACTAATTAGCACTAAACACACTGAGGGTAATGATTACACCTGTTATGCAGGTATTTTCTTCATAAACCGAAGACAACCCCAAAGTTATTTCAATTCATTCTGAGGGGGACATGGATGTTAGAAACACATTTCATAGAAATTCTTCTAACAAATGATGGATAGCAGACTGCCAGCCATTGTCATACTCATTTCCAGAGACATGCTGCTGGCTAAATGTCCTGATCTTCCTGGTGAATTCATATTTTGGATTTTGACAATACCTGGACAAACATCTTGAGAGTACAAGGAGGAAACATTTTTTCTGGGAGGATCATTAAGATACAAAGAAAGATAGTTACATTTATTATTTATGTTTTATAACAGTTCAAAAAGAATCTTAACAGAAAAATAAATTCTACTTTAAAAAGTAAAAAAAGTTGGAAATTGAAACAAAAGAAAAAAATCACAAAACCTCCCTGTTAAGATGACTTTACTTGATAATTTACTTGATAAGGTTTTGTAAAACATCATGCTTTACCTTAAAAATCGGTTTTTGTTCTGTTATTTGATTTAAGTAAATTATACGAAACGTAATACAGGAGAGTAGAAAGTTTAAGCAAGTAGGTTTTCTGACTTTTTTTATTCCCAGCATATATTGAATAATAAGTCCTTCTCTACTTTTAGACCAAAAATAGCTAAAGAATTATTCTCCGAGCTAAAGTACATAAGGAGCTTGTCACGTAAAGCTTTAAAGCTCAAACTTCTTGGAGCATCTTGGAGCAATATTCGCGCACACAGCATTAACATTGTGGCTTTGGTGTGGTCACTGAGGCGAGTGAGAGCTGAATAGGGACAGGATTCTCCATATCCTCCCGTCCATGCAGTTCATTATTCCATCCCTCCATCAAAAAACATGATGCTGAGATAAGTGCTTTCACTGTCTCCTTCTCCAACCGAAGAGCGCCGATGCTGCTATTTTTATACCACATTGTGATAGAAACCATCTCCATGACTACCAATATCTCTGCAGATGTATTGATGATATGAATGTATTGGGTTGTTTTTCTCTCTTTTCTCTCAGTTGGAAACCCAGCATTCGTGTCTCGCAAATAGGGCGCCCACTTTGGAGACGTCTCTTCCTTTGGTGTATGTTATGCTTAGTGGTTTAGCCAAATCACACTGAGGGGTAGCAGATCCAAGATCAGAGTCTGTCTTCCATTTTTTTATTTAATACAGAAAACAATAAAGTATCTCAAAATGAAGATACTCAAGTAGAGTATTGAGTAGGCCTACAAAGTCACAGAGTAGTTTTCCACCTCTGCATTTGTGTAAAGGCAGGACTTTGTGGTTGCATATTAGAGAACATCCAGTATCCATCAGAACTTCCTGCCCCTGTAAAAGGAAGTCCTCTCAGAATGTTGCGGTGCAGAACGTCTTAACCTCTCTGCGAGTGAACGAAAACTGAGATTTCAATCAGTCTGACCTCAAAACCTGCTGGCAGAACACACAGTGTTAGAATTTCAACAACATAATTCAATTTGTGCCTGTTAATACATGCACCGCTGTCGGAGCTGTGTCCTGTATTTACCTAGCTGGAATAACACTTAAGCTTGCGTCTCGTGGCCCACTGCTCGGTATCGTGAGAAAAAAAAACGATGCGCTGAGGGGGGAGAATATATAAGTACGTCTTCCCTCAGCACACGTTTGGGTCTCTTTCTTCGAACCGTTCGTACTCCTAAGCCGGGGCCACGTGTTTTGGTTGGCGACCATCAGTAAAGTTAGCATGTCAGCACATCTTATCCCTTTAAAAGTCTGTTTTTCCTTCTTCTTTTTGAAAAATGTAGCACTGACTGTGTAACACAAACACTTGAATGCGCCGGTGCTGCCTACAGTACACCCCAGGGCAACCATGGAGAATATTCCCTCCCGTAGCTTCTCTCTGTTTTCAAGAAATGTATTAGGAAAATATTAAGTTTTTTCATTTAAATGTATAGAGGTGAAGGTACATGCACTGTTTTTTAAACCGATACCCAAAGAAAAATTAAGTAGTTTGTCATCGAAGAATGTCGGACAGTAGTGCGAACATTTGCGTTTTGCAGGGTTCAATTCAGGAAAACTCAAAACTGATATAAACTGATCTGATATTTTCCTTTAGACTTCTCCTTTGGCATGGAAATTCAGAATCTCTTTGCCTAAACTCGCAACAGTCAGAGCAAATGAATGTATGTTTGCATCTTTGGATTGCTGGCTTGAATATGCAATCACACTGCCTATAAATGAGTTGTATCCTAGAGAACCCCTCCCACCCACTCCATGCAGAGCTAGTGAAGATGAGGAGTACGTTCAGCCACAGACTCATCCCTCCACGACACAGCACCAAGCGCCTCGGTCAGTCCTTTGTGCCTGTAGCTATCAGGCTGCACAACAAGGGGTCAATAATGTGAAACTATTAGACATAAATACACACTCCGTTTCCACAACCCATGTTAATATATCTAATATGTAACATATGACTCTATATATGTATATATGTCCATTTTAATTCATTTCTTACCTATAGTTTATATGACCAAATATGTATATATTCATTTCTTATTTCATAGTTTCTCATTATTATTATTTTTATTTTTATCGCTGATCTTATTTTTGATTTATTAATCTGTGTGAATCTGTGCTATCCTGTTTTTCACTCTTACCCTGTTGCTGTTTAAACAACTGAATTTCCCCACGGGGATTAATAAAGGTCCATCTTATCTTATCTTATCTTAATCAGTTTGAACACATCATATGGGGGGAAGTGTACACCAGTGTTGCTTTTCTTTACCTCTTTGTACCTGTAAGAGAACTACATTTGCACATTTCAGCTATTTATCTTAACCTTTATTACCTCTGCCAACGAGGCTATGTTTTTGGTTCTGTTTGTTTGTTGGGTGCGTGTCTGTTTGGCCAATGAAAGGACCCATTAAATGTTCGAGCGGCTCTGAATAAGGGACAAAAACACACATTATTTTTCACTCTTGTTACGAGATAGGGAATGGCCTTGGCGAGGGTCTGCGTTTCCTTGAGTGCTCTACTATTTCTGTGTGTTTTGGCTTTTTGGAACATCAGTAGCTCTTCTAATTCATTACATTTTGGTTGCAAGTTCTCAGAAGCCTGAGTATCCTCAAGTACCAACGAGTTTCAGAAAACCTAAACTTCACAGAAATGGAGAAAAATGTCTGTATTTTCGATGAAAGGGAATACACGAGAAACTATTCTCAATATGTTTTCATTAGAAGATGTTTAGCCCTGTTCCTGGCAGGTTTACCACATGGTTTTAAAGTACTGGCAAACAAATATAATCTTTTGGATAAAACTATTATCTTCTTCATTCCTAAAACACATTTATTGTACAGTTCCATATGGTTTTCAACCAAAATAAAGCTACAATCTCCTTTGCACCATCAACACCTAAGAGCTCCACTCTAATCAATGACCATCTGACATCTAGGAATGAAAGATAAGATTTTAACAGAACCGTCTGTCCCCTGAAAACCACACAAGGCCTTCCAGACAGTAATAAAAACAGGTTTTTTAGAAACCACAGAAATGGTTTTCAATAAGAAAATGGTCCAGCTGAACTGCCCGGCTGCTCATTACCAGGACTAAAATAACCTGAACAATTTAATGACATTAAATTATATGTCTAGCCATTAAAGTTTTATAATGTTCTACAATTCACGTCAGTCAAATCTAAAATGCTTAATACTGTGAGACGTTTTCAGTGATCATGGTGCATTATCTGCTCTGAAGATCTTAGTTGGAGAAAAAACCTGCTTTTTCTGAATTATCTGGACCAGTCTATGACATGAAATGATCAAAACTGCAAGTAAAAACATTAATTTGTGATTTGTGATTGATCTGAATGCAGCCGGCATAATAACATCAACTCATTCATATGAATCGTACGCAAGCCCAGGTGTGCAA